CAAATTGCTGTGCTCTCGAAATGGAAGAAATTGAGACATTACTTGAATGAAATGTTTTTAAATACGTTCTTCGCAAACAGGTGCATAAAAAATAAATCTAAAATCATTATGTTTACAATAAGAAAATTGGTAGTACGTGAACTACGAAGAAACAATCTGACAATAAGCAAATTGACAATAATAAAATTGACAATAATAAAATTGACAATAATAAAATTGACAATAATAAAATTGACAATAATAAAATTGACAATAATAAAATTGACAATAATAAAATTGACAATAATAAAATTGACAATAATAAAATTGACAATAATAAAATTGACAATAAGAAAAGTGACAATAAGAAAAGTGACAATAAGAAAAGTGACAATAAGAAAAGTGACAATAAGAAAATTGACAATAAGAAAATTGACAACACGAAAATTGGCAATAAATAAATTGGTAATAAATAAATTTATAAAACATAAGTTTGAAAACATAAACTAGTAATAAATAAGTCCACAGCTAAACTGATAGTAAGTAAACCGGTAAAAAGAAAATTACTAATAATTACAATTACCACAACTAAATTAATAACAAATGAATTGCTAATAAAGAAATGCGTAACAAATAAATTTACAACAAACATAGAATAAACTTCTGAAACAACCAGTGACAATATCAACCTCAAATTAAAATAGGACACCCTCTCTGTATGCAGCCTTCGAGTTGCGGAGACCTTGAATATTCAGTATCTCGCTAGTTGCGTCGAGATATGATGAGCTAGAGTCAGTTGGGTTTCTCGTCTAACCGGAATCCATGAAATTACAATACACAGCGCTCCCTTTGCAGCGCTAATTTGACGGTGGATGAATTGATCGACTGCGACAACAGTTGCACATCCGTTGCCTGGTATCTTTCTCGATTGGTTAATGCGCCAAGCCACGAGGACGTGCACTGTCACCTTGGGAATCGATGGGAGTGCAACATCGATACGACGGAATTAATGCGAGCCATGGTTAGAGGGTAGAAACGGGGATTTCAAGATTGCGATTGAGGACGAGCTAAATCTGAATTAGCCAACAATGCTGAGCACTGATATACCTAAATGAAAAGAGATACTGCTCTCGGCAAGCGGTTCAGCAAAATTGTACACAAAATGAAATTGTAAATGGAACGTACGACGCGGAGTGAAGAAAATTAAATGGATGAAAGAAAACTGAAAAAATGCAATGCACAAAATGAAATTGTAACAGAACGTGGAAAGCACGGTGGAGAAAATGAAATGCATTAATTAAATTCGGTAGAATAGAATATAAACGGAAAATGCAATATAAAAAATGCAGAGAAGGGGGATGAAATGCACAAAGCAATTTCGAAAGATTCAATGCAAAAAAGTAGAACACAATAAATAAGGCGGAGGAAGTGTAAAAACAATAAGAAAATGGTAAATGTTAAATGTGTGAAACAGATTTCAATGAATTGAATCCAAAAAAGGTTAGATGGTATAATATGAAGTGAAGCAAATGGTATATAGTAAAAAAAATGAAAATAATCGGATATAAATCAACGGAAGAGAAAAAGGTGGAATTAACACGAATATTAAGATCATTAAGTGCTGGAAATTATGCTCCCAACGTTTAATAGGGAAAATTGAGTCCCAGAGATGCGGTAGCAGAACAGAAGTACTCTAGATTGAGTGTCTGAATTAAGTATAAAATACTGAATTATAGATATTGAGTACACGCCAAAGAAAAAAATTGTATATCCAAGTTGTATCACGAAAATGAAATAAACACTTATGAAGCATAGATGATAGAGTTCTCACTGATAGATTTCATTCCACATTATATTACTATATTAGTCAACAAAGAAGCATTACTAAAAATCAACAAATGATAAGGAATAGGTATTCAACATTGAACACAGAAAATTAAATATTCTACTCAACATCCTTATATTATCTTATTCAACAGAGAAATATCCTTGAAAAAACCAAATAATAATAGCTACTCAACATTGACCGTAGAAAATCAAATATTGTATTTGATATTATATTGTTATCCAATTCAACAAAGATATATTGAAAAAACTAAATGCTAACTGGGTACTGAACATTGAATACAGTAAATCGAATATTGTATTCCACAGTATATTAATATGTTATTCAACAAAGAAATATCACTGTAAAAATTGGATGATAACAAATAGGTACTTAATATTAAACATCAAATAGGCAGCTTAACAAATTAAATCACTATCGATAAGAACAAACGTCGACTATCGAAAGATTAATTCACAGGGCCAAAGGTTCAACAATGAAAAGAAGTAAACCAGCAATCCTCGCAAAAACGAACGAAATAAAAAAGTAGAGCAACTGAATCCTTCACTCTCAGAAACCCCTTTTTCGACACAAAAGGGAACCAACACGTATCGAGGAAAATATTGAACAATTCCCTATATGGCGAAAAGAAACTGCAGACAAATAGAAATGTCGCGCGAATACAGAGCAGTTTTGAACCGATCGATAGAGCATCGTGACAAAGAATTGCTCAAGCACCGAATAAAACCGCGAATAAAAGTGAACCGTGTCGATATAAATTCGATCGCACCGCGAGAAATTCGTGCAAAGATCGTTCGCGAGTGATCGTAAAATAAAAAGAGCTACTTCTAACCGCCGACAATCACGCTTCCCGCTCGTTTCAACTAGAAATGGCCCGCCGCTGGCCATCGAGGTGAAATTGGAAAAGGAATCGTTACATTTTACACAAAGGAAACCGAAGAGACCAGTTACGATTAATATATTTCACGAAATGTGAAATGTTTACTGTCAACGGGTTTTATTTACTTTGTCGTGTATATTGATTTGTAATAAAACTTGAACAGTTTAGTTGCATCGTTTTAAATATGTGATTTATTATATTATGAAATCTTTTGCAACATAACATGAAATAGTTAGAACTGTTTTTAATATATTATTTATTAGAAAGTGTATTATTCTGTGTCAAATTTCGAAATATCCGCGTCTATTAATCCAAATATATTATTCCCTAGGACATCTATTGTTCTATTGCAAGATTCAAAGTATCCAGTGTTATGCCATTATAAATATTAGTTTGATAATTTCATACTGGCCTGTTGCAAATTTTGATCTAAACAATTCTACTTTCCTTCCAAAGTGATTTACTAATTTAAACACTTCACTATTACAAAATTTTTATTACTATTTGTGTACTTCTACTCTAGCATGTAAATCATTTGTTATATATTATTCAATTCAAAAATTTGGTATGGATATTTCCAGTGTTCAATTTAAAAATTACTATAGTCACCTTCATTAATTCAAGAAATTTGCTATAGTTACTGCCACTAATCAAACCTAATATTTATTATATTTATTTCAATTACCCAATTCTAAAATTTACTACAGTCATTTCCATTAATCGATTTAAAAATTGAATGCAAATATTCCCATTACTCAATTTTAAAGTAAATTATGGTACCTACTGTATTCAACAGCACACCGACTTATTAATCAGACAATACGAATTAATTACCACGTGCAAACACTGTCGATAGTCTGGACAAGCAATCGCAGAGACGAACGCGTTAATACGGACAAATTGAGCTGTCAAAGGATCCGCGGAGCCCTTTCGCGTTGAATTACGCCCTCGAGTTCGAAATTCTGACCGGATCGGAAATTCAGGGATTCCGGGCACGTTTCCGCGGGAAAGTTACCGAATTGTAGAACACGCTAAAGTTGGACGGGAATTTTATCAATATGTACGACACATGTAATCCCGAACTGGAACATGGGTCGCTCTGATACGGCCGTTACAAATAATGTTCAATATTATGCCCAGAATAAGTTCCAATATGCAATCGATTCTCAAATGATTGAAAGTGATTTGATGTTTGCGAAAATACTTTCAGGGGCTCTGAGGTGATTTAAGGTGATTCAATTTCTGTCGAAGCAAACACTGTAGAAATATTTCCAATATTTTCATATACTCTTTCAAACGTGAATACACTTTTGTGCTTTTCACAATTTCTTCTGTAATTTTGATAACTTCGATTTGCAATATTGAGGTGATTCTTGACGTGATTGGGTTACAGTAATTTACTTTTGTATCAAATGAGATAACTGGGACTCGTAATAAACGAATATGTAAATAAATATTAGATGTATTACATCTGATAAATAGTTTTGATGCAAAATAGCAGTAATTCTATCAATTAATGTACGCTTTGATAATAAACTGGTACATTGGATAATAATAATGGAGATCATAAAGAAAAGTAAACCATACGAACGAAATAACAAATAACTAACGAGATACAGGAAGCAGAGTATAAGAAATAATTAAATGCAATGGTGAATAAACAATGGTGGTTCTCTTAGCAAAGCTAGAGAATAAACTATAACATTACTCACAATAAACGACTATCAGACAAGATTCTAATTAAAATAAAAATTAACAATTGGATTGGAACACGAGTTTCACAGTCTTCACAGTTCACAATCAGTCAATTCAAACTTTGAATAAATCAAGAAAATAATATTAAAAAAGAACACTTTTGTCCAATTAATATACACCTCAAAAGTTTCAACATAATGTTTTCTGCAAAACATTTTTCTCTGATTCTACGCAGAAAGATACTCATCGAACCAAATTACCAATAAATTAATAAAATAAAAGCAACAGAAAGATTTTCCCCAATTAAAATATATCTCCGAAATTAAAATATAATTTCCCAAATGAACCACTTCACTCTCAAACCACGCACAAAGATACCAATCCAAAAGTCCAATGAACACGTACAATAGACCACCACCCACCCCCAAAAAAACATTTTTCCCAGACATAACCCACACAGCGATGAAAAAAATCATAGGTCTCAAGCATCCTCGTGCTTGAGACACTGTAACACGAAGTTCCCAGGCGATACAGAAGAAAATTGCGTTCTGTGTTCCCGGTGGACGTCTACCGAAAGAATTCCCCTTGATTTTTTTACAGGAACGTCTCCTATTGAGCGTGTTGCCGAGGCACGTAGCCATGGAGATGAAAGCGGACATCGCTGGCAAACCGAAGGATACCATGTTTTACAAAATTTACATCCAAAGGCACGAGAACGTCAGGTGAGTATTCCAGAAAAGGACAGAAAACAAAAAATAACGAATAGCTGATAGAACGCGTCGCCACTGTTCCGGGGATAAAGGGAAACCGAGGAACAAAAGGAGCATACTTCGTTTCGGACTAGGCATAGGGTGAACCAAAGACATCGGCACGAGAATATAGATGTTTTTCGAACCGTTGGATAAACGAGTGGTTAGGGACAATAGTGGTTCGGCTGATTCGGGATGCTTTTATGAATAGGCTTCTGCGGAATAATTTTTGTTTTGGAAGCTTATCAGAAGCTTTTGTGAAATTGAAAAATGGAATGTAGGAATTCGAAATGTTGGTAATTGTATTTTTAATGTTAATTGAAATGCAAGTAATTGAAATGACGATAATAGTAATATTAATCATTGTAATTTTGGCAACTGTAGTATTGACAATCATAATAGTAATCATCACGAAATACCATAAATTATTATTAATTGATGTAGTACCAGTATTTAATCAACACAAAAACATTTCACTAAATAAAACATCCTAAACAATTAATGAAAGCAGTTAACTTCTTAATCCGAAACAATTGATAGTTATTAACAATTAAAGCATTTTCATTTCTACAACGATTCCGAGAGCAATTGCCGTAAGTAAACACAAAGAAATAAAAATAAGTTTCCCTCGATTTAAGTATCCAGCACACATTCATAATGAACAATTGCAAAGAAATATATGGAGACATTTGAATTCATTTTAGGACCACTTTCAGTGTACTTAAAAAGTCGACACGAAAGTGAAACTACGAATTACAAATTAACAAAATTTTAGTAAGTAATGTACCATATGCAACATTATCACAAGCAAAACAAGATATCAATAAACAGTCCCATTGATTACTGTTAGAAATATTCGAACACCACAAAACTTCAGATCACCATCACTTCCAATTGTTTCAAGAAACGATAACATTTTTTTAATTTAATGTTGTCCTTGTGTCTATTCAAACTGCTTATAACGAAACTTGTCTACTTCAAAATATTAATTTCTCTCAAGACGATTCATTAAACAATTACCCAGATAGACCAATAGAATACAGTTTATTTAAGAAATTAGTTCATTTGATCGATTATAATAAGTGATTGTCGGATAGTGCGTTGACAAAGTAAACCAAATTTTAGTGAACCAGGTACCGCGTACACTCAAGATTTAAACTCGACGAATTTGGATCAGGAGCCGGAATAATTACGAGACACACTGTATATTCTCTGTGCGCTACGTACCGAACTGCATAATGCATCTGTCGTGATGAACGCGTCCGTCACAAGCTGAAGTAACACCCGACTGACACTCGCGCCTCGTTAAGTCACACGGCCCCGGCTAACGAATTCCAATTACCACCGGTACTTAATTAAAACCTGCACGGCCACTGAAGATTCCATCGTAGAATCTCTGTTTTACAGTATCCTGTTCGCGGACATCTGCGGGTTCACGTCGTTATCGGATCAATGCACCGCCGAGGAGGTCGTCAGATTGCTGAACAAATTGTTCGTATGGTGAGCTCATACAATACTAAAAAATTCAACCAAAGAAAGTAGTTCCCTTCCCTAGTAATGTTTTAATAAGTTGATGATCAATCTTCCTAAACGTTATTCGAATACTCAGATAATGAATTTAAGATAAAGAATATAATTACTTTAATATTAATTACACTTATAATATACTGTATTTATTATTGCGGAATAAATTGGAATTGTTATCTAGAAGAATTTTAATGACTTCGGATAGGTTCAGAAAAAGAAGTACTGAAAACGTTGGCAAGTAGAAAATTACTTGAACATTGAAATGATTGCAATTATATGTTCATAAACTGTAATTGGAACTTTGTGTTATCGTTAACGAATTGTTAGAATAAAAAAAGAGTTGATTGCTAGAAAAACGACCACTGATACTTCGAGTGATAAATAAATAACACTAGAATTATACTATGAATTAAACGATAATTGTCTATACGATTAATTGAGCAAAACATATCGTCACGAATTTGATTGAAAATTATATTCGAAATATCACAAACAAGAACATTTCCTTAGATTTCAAGATACTAGTGACATCTCAGAGTTTACAAAGACACAACACAGTCAAATGACGGTAAACATTAAAAATAACAAAGGCAGAAAACAATCTTAATGAAGAACTATGTATAAGGACGTTAGTAAATAATCTCTATAATGACGAATTCACAAAGGAGTTTGAGAAAATCTGTATAAAGGATAACATACAACGAAGTTTCAAAAAATTTCTATAAAGAATAATTAATAACGTATGAAAAAAATCAAAAAAGAATAAAGTTCAAACAATAAACACTATTGACGAATATACTTAAGAGTTGAAATAGGTTTTAATTTCATTGAAAGGACAAGGGCTACAAATTCCTTTCAAAATGTCGAATGTTACAGGTTTGACACCCTTGCAGCTGAGCACCACTGTCTACGGATCAAATTGTTAGGGGACTGCTACTATTGCGTTTCTGGGCTTCCGGAGCCGAGGCCCGATCACGCTCGGTGTTGTGTGGAAATGGGTTTGGACATGATTAGCGCAATCACGTGAGTTTCTGTCGGGCTGACTTAACGTTATACCACTGGCTCTCACGACTTTCCGTGACCCTTATTCCCTTATGCTTATCGACAACCCCTATTCAGGTCAATCTCAAGAAACTGGAACCACTAAATACTGCACAGTGTTTAATGCTACTTAATTATGTCAACATATCTGTGTAATACTTGAAAAATACAACATTTCTAAATTGTTTATTGTAAACCTAACATATCATAAAAGAAGGAAGAGGTAATTGATGTTTAATCCTTCATTGAAAAGAAGTAGATTACATCACTGTAGATAAACTAGAACCACTGAATTCTACCAAGTGGTTATTGTTATTCAATAACAATTGTCATCCTATTTACATAATACTTGCAGAACACAATATTTGTGAATCATTTGTTGTAAACGTAACGTATTATAAAAGAGAAGTAGAGGTAATTACTAATTGATTCATCATCGAAAATGAGTGAATGAGAATACAACTGAAAAGAACCGCAATTTCAAGTAAAATTTAATTTACGAAAATGTGTATTTCACTACAAAGCACCAGATTTTGGAATAAAATTGAAACTGTAGAAATGGGATGTTCAGTAGGGAGAAACTTCTATGTCTGAACAATGGCCGACTGTTTCTACTGACACTGAAAAATGCATTATTTCACAGGCAACAGTTTTGGAAAAAATTTTATTTTGCAAGAATACTTATTTGTAGGAAGAAAAATCCTTGTTATAACACTCTGACAAAATTTAGATGGTAAACAATAGTAATTGTGAAGAGTTAATCCAAGATGTTTTTAAATATATTTCTTAACGTTAAGCTACGACTGCTGATAATCTCTGGTATGTAAAGACGAATTCAATGATCTGAATCACAATAACGAAGAAGTGACCTCAGAGAGACAGTAGCCTGAGAGTAAAGCCTGACCTGAATTTGTAATACTAAAATGACAGTTAAACGACATGAACCTCGAAACAAACGGACCACCGAGTCATTATTTAGACGCTCTAGAGTTGCCATTGAATATACCATTCAGTGACCGCTAGAGGCATAACTGAATCAACAAATGACGACAGGTTTTGATCAAGGTCGAAGATATCCAAAACGCACCTGGCAAGCAGTTATCAATATGCAATGGTTTTCCATTATACATTCTTAACTTATTTATTGGTGACATAGAATAATAGAATAAAAATGAAGAAAACTGATATTACGAAAAGAAATAGGTGGACGTAGATAAAGGGTATATTATTAACTTGTTTATTAGTATTATTGAATAATAAAATAAAGAATGCAAAACATTGATATTATGAAAACTAGAAGATTTAGAGTAAAAGGTAGATTTGAAACTTTTTTATTAGTGTTCGGAGAAAATAAAACTGAAAATGGAAAAAATTAATAAAAAATAAGTAAATTACAATTCCAATGACACCACTCTCCAAAAATTGATTGTAGTAAACTATTCACATTCGATCAAGGTTGAAAATATCGGCAAACCACCTGGCAATTAGTTATGCAATATGCAAAGGTATTCCATTGTAATAATAGAAGTGAATACTTCCTGCATCATATTAAAAATACAGAATACCACAGATATAAGAAAAGAATGCAGAAATATAACAAGAAATCAAAACTGTAACAATATCAACTGACTTGCTCATACAGTTTATCATATGAATCACTTGCTTTATAAATCCAAATATAACTTCAAGCAAAACAATTAATTTCAGCTTGAGATTGATGAAATTAATCAAAAAGGATAGTGATCCGATATAGTATACATTTCCAGCAAAATATCAAATTTCAGAAACTATATACTGTAACACGTGATATTTAATCGAAGTAAAATACGTTCGACAAAAACCAAAAAAGAGTGATCCACTTTATCATTCAGGTCCACGCAAATGTCAAATTTCACAACCTAAATAACGCAACAAGTGATATTTACTGAAAAAATACATTCGATAGAAACCCAAACAAAAAATTGTGATTCAATTAATAATTTCAACCTAAACAAATATCACAAGATAAATAACGCAACAAGTGATATTTACTGAAAAAATACATTTTATATAAACCTAAACACAAAATAGTGATGCAATTTATAGTTTATACCTACGCGAATTTCATAAATTGAATAGTGCAACACTGATATTTAATGAAAAAAAAACGTCCGATAAAATCAAAACGAAAAATAGTGATTCAATTAATAATTTCGACCTACACAAATATCACAAGCTAAATAACTGAACAAGGAATACTCAATGAAAGAAATATCAGTTGACAGAAACCCAAACAAAAAAAAACGGTGCTCCGATTTATTTATTCCCAGGCAAATTTCGATCGGATTTTCTTAGAATCGAGTTCATCCGCGTTCGCTGGACCGAGTTGCCTCGCTCTCCAAGGAAATCTTCCCTTTGACCGGGTAACTCTCGTTTTTTAGCGTGGCGGACCGTAACGAGGAGGCTGAGCTAAGAACAGTCGTCTCGAGAGGCCGCGTTTCACTTTGACTCGTTTACTTTGTTTCCGGCTCTTAAAATGGTTTCCTCGACCGACCACTACCATCGCTGGCTGCTCTATTAGAACCGAGTGCAGAAACAAACGAAAAGAACGTCGACAGTGATTGCCAACGATGAACCGGAAACGAGCTGATATTTCGCTCGAGTATATGACTGATTTCATGTGTGTTCGTAACGGACAATTATTATTATACATAGACTGAAGATTTTTCTGCATTCTTGGGAAACTCGAAATTGCGCACGATGCAAACGAAAACGAAAAATATCGAAAATATACAAGATGACCTTTGTAATTTTTTGTAGGAAAAATTGATCTTCGTTGGAAATTTATTTTAAACAGAGATGAAACATAAGTACTGCACACGATAACAAAAAAAGGAACTACAATTTATCAATTCTTTAAGTTTTTAATACTACTTACAGCTAGTAAAAACTTCGAAAATATAGTAGTACATAGAATTAAATTAATCGTTTATTATTTGATAGTTCGCATGCGTAATCGATTTTTTGAATCTTCAACAGATCTCACAATTACAGAAATCATTAAATTTTCCATAGCTTTCATGCCTAATCTACTCTTCAAATTTTCAATAGCTCTTACAAATAATAAATACTTCAAATTTTGAATAGCTCTCAAAAATAAATAATTCCTGACATTCTTAATATCCTTCACAGTTAATCGATTTTTCGAATTTATAAGCTCCTACCTCTAATTAACTCCACGCCTTCAGAATAATTCCAGCAATAAATAAATACTCCTATTTTCCAACATTTTTCGTAAACCTACGATTAAGAAATTCTTTCAATTCTCAGTAGTTCCAAAAATGATTAATTATTTCAAGTATCAAAAGTGTAAACAAGGAATCAATTCCTCTCCTCGACAACAATTTGCACAATAAATAAGTACTCCCATGTAAAATTTTTCGAAGACCTACAATTAAGCAATTCTGCGAATTTCTAATATTTCCACCAATAAATTAATTCAATCAAATTTCAAAAGTATCCGAAACTAATCAATTCCTCGTTTTCATAATACTTTCCACAATGAACAAATACACCGTTCTCCAATAATTGTCTGTAAACCCACAATTAAGAAATTCCTCAAAATCTCAATAATTTCTTGGAATCTCTCAATTATTCAATTCCACCAGGTAACCACCAGTGGAAATACACGAAAAACAATTACTGAGATCCATTTGGCACTGTATTCCAGGATGTATCGAGAGGTGGGAGCCGTGAACGTGAACATGAGGGTGGGAATCCACACAGGCAGAGTACATTGCGGCGTTCTAGGTCTGAGAAAATGGCAATTCGACGTCTGGAGCAACGACGTCACCCTCGCGAATTACATGGAAAGCGGCGGAGTGCCCGGGTGAGTAATTCCAACTGCTTCTCATCTTACAATATCGCCTTTCCAGCGACCAGGATAATGGACCAAAAAAAAACGTCCTGTAGATGGACCCTCTGACACGTTAATCATACGCGTATATCAGATCACCGTGTACAACGTAAAATAAACAAGTTCATCAACAGTGTATCCATCAGCTGCATATAAATAAGTTTCAAAATGACCCTGCCATGTGAAAACGAGTTTAAAGAATATTCTGATAAAAATACTGAATATAAAAGAACTGATTAAATTCTGTAAGCTAATTAGTTTCCGAAATGTTTTGTTTAGTAAAGCACATTAATTTGAGAGATTTGAAACTTTGATATCCCAATTTCTGAATATATTAGGAAAGATATGAAATTTTTTAATTACGATTAATCATTGAACATCTATTTGGTGAGAAATTGATTCACCAACACTTTGCTACTAATTTATCGAAATTTATTATACCTGTAAAATATTTAGATTTTAATGTTTTGAAATTATGATGCCGAAATTCCTGAATAATCTCTTTCGAATCTTATTTTAGAATATCAATTTATATTATACTCTGAAAAATTCATAAATCTGACAAATGAATTCCCCTACCAATTTCCATAGCGCTACTGAATAATTTCCAGTAAATGAAATATTCGATTTAATAACTATTCCAGATGTAATAATTATCGAATTTACATGGAAAAATAAATTTATATTACACTCTGAAAAGTTTATGAACATGCCAAACGAATTCAACTATCACTTTCCAAAGTGCCACTGAATAATTTCTAATGGTTGAAATATTGAAATTAATGACTGTTTCATATTTTCATATAACAATGGAAAAAGGATATTTCCACAGAGAATATTGGAGAGCAACATTATTCTTATTGGAATTTCGAGTAGACAGCTTCCTCTGTCGGCGTCTGTGAGGCTCGTCTTGCCTTGGTTTCCCGAGAAACCTTTCAGCCGTGCGCCGGGAAACATTCGAGGGAAATTACAAAGCACAAAGCAGCGATAAAAATAACCGCATAACTGTTTCATGTTTCTGGAACATCTATTTTCTGGCAGTATTATTCTCCTCGGGGAGATTCTTCCACGGATTTTTATTCAGTTTCGGGGGGAACGTCAAATGTGCCCGGTTCTTTTATTGAAACATCGAGACCACGATTGAGATTGTTCATAAAGAGTAATAGTTTCATGTGAAAAAAAATAAACACAGAATTCACTGGCGAAATGAACATTCCGAGGACTTTGGAATTTCTGCTTAATAAAAATCAATAAGTGGAAAGATTTTATCGAATTTTGCACATATTAATAAATGAAGTTCAGATCCGTGGAGATTGGTGTTCGATAACAATATAGTAACAATTTTGTGATGATGACGATGATAATGACAATAATAAAATAATAATAATTGTATTTTCGATTATTAAAAATCGATAAACAAATATCTCATCTAATTTTGCAGGTATTGATAAATAAAGAAAGTGGGGTCCGTGCACACAGATATCAAATAATATTTATAGTAACAATAATAATAACATTTCAATATACAACTGCCAAAATTACCAGGATAAATTGATCAAAAAGCTTCTGTCCACCTATAGCCACGCTGAATAATAAGAAAGATAATTTATTGTGTACAAAGACAACCAGTTTATCAAAAAAAATTCAAAAGAACGAAATTTTTGGAAAGGTATCATCATACCAAAAGAGGGTACAATTCAAATATTAAATAAATTGGTATACAATACATGTAGTGCAAAGAAAATTGACGTTGAAAAATTTAATATTCGAAACTGGCATGTAACTTCTTAATGAAATACATGTAAACTATTTTCGAATCTTTTTTAGTGTATATTATACTTTACTAATCAAATCAGATTCATTCCACTAATCAATACAATTATATTCCACTTATGGATTCCACTAATCAGTTCACTCATATTCCTTTATCCATTGCACTAAACAAGTCAATTATATTCAAAGATCTATCCAACTAAACAAATCAATTATATTCGAAGATCTATTCCACTAAACAAGTCAATTATATTCGAAGATCTATTCCACAAAACAAATCAATTATATTCAGAGATCTATTCCATTAAACAAATCAATTATCTCGCAGCACCCATTCCACCGAATCTTAAAAATAATTTTAAAAAAACTGAAAATAATGAACGAGATAAACACTGATGGATTTTGTGAGTGTTAAATGGTCTACAAAAGAGGTTAAGCAGAGTAATAAAGAGTTGGTCCCTCAGATCAATAAATGGACATTGAATTGGTCACTATAAACGGACAACAATCGTCTATTCCAGGCGAGTACACATTACAAAAGAGACCCTCGACTGTCTGGGTGGTTATTACAAGGTGGAGGAGGGCCACGGGGGCGAGAGGAACGCGTACCTCAAGGAGAACAATATCAAAACGTACCTGATCGTCCCCGGGGACTCGTTCAAGGGCAACGTTCCGTCCGCGGGGCTGAGAAAGGGGCTGCCGGCGAACGGCAACGTGTCTAAGGAGATGAGAATGATAGGGTACGGTTCGCAACACGGCAAACAGGCCAAGTAAGTGAACCATCTTTACTAGGAAATCGATATTATATCTTTAACATTAGAACCAACCAGCATTTGATGTGATTAATTTGTACTTCTCTTGAAAATCATAGGAGTACGTTTATTTGAATTCTTGCTGACGTTCACTGCATTATCTAATGTGAGACCATTGATTTTCAAAATAATTTTTACTACGAAATCCATATTATATCTTTAACATTAGAACTAACCAGTATTTGATAGAACTAATTCGTACATCTTCTGAAAATCATAGGAGTACGTTTATTTGAATTCTTGCTGACGTTCACTGCATTATCTAATGTGAGACCATTGATTTTCAAAATAATTTTTATTAGGAAATCGATATTAAATCTTTAACATTAGAACTAACTAGCATTTGATGTGATTAATTTGTAATTTTTTTGAAAATCATAGGAGTACGTTTATTTGAATTTTTGCTGATGTTCACGACATTATCTAATGTGAGACCATTGATTATCAATATAATTTCAATATATATATATATAATATTAACAGTTGCAAAAAGGGATTCAGTTTTAAATCTGCTTGATTTATACTTTCTGCAGCTACTTTACAGTGGTAAATATCATTTATCTCATTGAACAGTTGTTGAAATTTTTAGAAGTTGGTTGCTGTAAGTAAATTATTCGAGCTTATAATATTTACTATAATTGTAACTATATGGTCAACATAATTCATTTTAAACAGAAAGCATGAAAAAGAGAACTAGTTGCAATTATATATTATTATTTCAATTATTACGTAGCAATGTTAGACTAATCCATTAAGTTCGAGATTATAATATTTACTAAAATTACTATACGTATATGATTGATATAATTTAGTATTTAATAAGTAGTTTCCTCTTCCATAATATACTTTCAAAATCGGTAATTATGGTGATCATATGATTATATTTATTACAGTGAATATTATGACCTTGAATATAATTAACTAGAGTAATATTATTGAGTAAAAATTCACAGTCAATGATTAAAATAAGAAATACTTATTATTATGCCGAAAAATGATAAACACTAATTAAATCATTAATGTACTACAGTTCCGTAATCTAGATAATAATTACGTTACTAATGTAAGGTAAAAATGTAATCGATATAATTATCGATATAAAATCATCAGCGAAGATTATTCGGATATTAGAAATGAGATTTACCATCCAAAATCGTGTAGAAAGAAATTAATTGTGGAAAATTGACAACTTTCTATTGTAACGAAATCAAATAATAGATCAGCAGATCTCGATAATATATAAAGGATTCAGTTCCAATGAAATCAATTCCGTCGCAAATACGTCAAATTGATACCATAATAAATATCACACGTCGGTTATTATAAACGATTCCGGAGACCGTGCCACGAATAAATGCAATGTATTCCACGATAAATCTTATTTTTCTACTCTCGAAAATCACTTTATGTCGGGGTCAGGCGCTTAAATACACTTTCGGCAGCGTCAGGGACTATTTTTCAATATCGATTCTCGATTACGCGACAGGCTAGGCTTCGGCGAGACGAACGAGCCGAAGAAGGATCCAGAGGACGAGGTGAACGAGTACCTGATGAGGGCGATAGACGCCAGGAGCATAGATCGATTAAGGGCTGAAAACTGCACCCCATTTATTCTAACATTCCGACGGCCTGATGTTGAGGAAAAGGTATATTGGCAATTATTATATAAAAAATACATTATTAATGTAATGTTTAGTATCATGAAATAAAGGAATAGAAAGTCGGGGGGAGATGATGTTACGAAAGGAACTACATACACAGGAATTTACAACGTATTTTGAGTATTATAGAAAAATGGAAGAACTCAAAAAAATTAGTATTCCTCAAAGAAAACATAGATCTAGGTTCCAGATCTAGATTCTAGATCTACAGGAATTAATGCATTTTCAGCTTAGTTTCTAGAATTATAAAATAATAAAGTGGAAAATGCAGAATTAATATTAATAGAACAATAAGACAGGTCTAGAGAAAATGATGCATTTTCAACTTAGTTTTTCGTAATGTAAAATAATAAAAGAAAAAAAGGTCATGCAACCGAAACAACAAATCACAACTTCAATGACACCAGTTTCCAAAGAGTTATTGTATTAAAGCATGCCCCTTGCACGAAAAAAATAGAACTTTTAAAATCAACAGTTATAACTATAATTAACTTCTACTTCATCTCTAGTACTTTGTACCAGGCTTTATACTTTTATTAAGAAATGAGAAAAAGATTCTACATTTTGCTTGCAAAGTAACTTGCCTTCAGTAGAATAAAAGAAAGCAATCAATATTGTGATAATAGCGAAAAAAGATATCTTTAATAAATCAAAGTACCTTACAGTAACTCAGACCAGCAATTAATATAAAAATAACCAATATTATGATTATTGTCAAAACAGGCAGTCATCATAAATCACAGTAAATCCAATTTTTCTTTTACTTATCAATTCCAATACATCTACTGCAAGATGTAACTTTCTACTCACAATAGAAGAACACAATAATGAACATGAATACTGTCGATATTATCATCGTTGTTAACGAAGAAATCCTAAATAAATCAGAGTAAATACAGTTTGTTTTTATTTTTCAAATCCAATCAAACACTATTGCAAGAGCAAGATTTTATTGACAATCCACCGACGATTTCTGTTCCAGTACTCCCGCGAACGAGACAGAATGCTTTCCGCGTATTTCGTTTGCTCCGGCTTGGTCTACATGGTGGTCGTGACCGCTATAGCAATCACACTGAACGGGTAAACAGACCGATCCAAATAAATCCAATCATTTGAATTAATATTCTCCACCGTACGAACAAGCCTACCTAAAATCCCTTCTAGCTAACTTCGTGACACTCGATCGACTTCGAAACGCGCTGAGAATAAATCAACGGAATTCCTGTTGCAACGAAATGCAATTAGATTGCAAACAGACAGATGCAACGAGACTTAACTCAAGGAAAACGATAAAATCATTCTTTCGCAACAACGGAATCTGTACAAATCTAGATAACAAAATATATGAAATTACTCCAACAATATTTTCTACTAAATATATAAATTAAACAAACATCCACTCAAATAAATTAATTAGATGTTATTGATCAAATTACACAAATTTTCAAATGAATATGAATTATTGGAAATTCTCTTTCAAAATCACTTTAAATTAACCAAATTTGTTAGAAATTACCGAAATCATTTTGGTATAGAAGTAAATGATTAGCAATTAAATGAGAATTAGTAATTATTAACAATCCTCAGGAGAAGAAAAATATGTGACCCAAACTTCATCAATAAATATAAATTACTCACATCACTTTAAGAAGTACATAGGAATTACACAAATATCTTATAGAATTATATCTCAATTGTTACTATATCTTAATTTGATCATTGTTATTCAAGAAACTAATGTATTTTTAGGAGTGTATATTTCTACACTTGCATAACAGTGAGTTCTGTACTCATTGCTCTGGTGAATGGGATCCTACTGGCTGAGAAGAACGAGGTGAGTTAACGTATTATAGATCGTTCCTGATCTAGATATCAGAGGGATACTGATAGCGACAGCTTGTGCATCGTGACAACCTCTTTTGAACAATTTCCAAGTAGACTGGATCGATTGCGAAACCCTTTGGAATCTTGCCATTTCCTCTTGACCTTGAATCGGTGGACAGATTCCAGGTCAGTGGTGGAATACATTGATTCCGCCTGTTATTGCCATTCTGATGGATCGTTGATCCCTGTACCAACGTCAGGAATCCTAATTCATAATTCTGAATGATGCAATGCAGTGGTTTTCATTTTTCTGTGAATTTATTTTTAACGAATTATTTTTGAAAGACAATATAATGGATTTAACAACTGAATGCAATTATTTCATATCGCCAAAATAAATTTTTGTTGTGTAAAAAATTGTTAATCTGGATCATAAAATTATGATTTATTTTCTTTAAGATACAATTATAATTATATTATAGAAAATAGAATTATAATTTATTATTAATAATACTCTCACTATGGTGACTAATAATTCCATGATTTTTATAATTTGTGATTTTATTTTTTTTCGAATATGTACTAAATTCATCATTTCGAAAAACTTCGTTAAGAAATACCTATAGGAATACAAATGAAAACCACTGATATGATTTGGGTATTATTAATCTCTTGGCTAACAATAGCGTACCAGATTCGTGACGAAAATATTAAATCGAACTTGAGAAATCAAGTATCATTTATTCTTTATTCATATAAATTGAACACTGCTTTTCTATTGTCAATTGCAAATCTTTACAGTAAACGTAAACATAGAATAAAAATCAAAACCTATTATTTTTCTAACACATTATTAAGGATAAAATAGTTGTATCAATCATAGCTGGGAACTAAATCATAGGGCAAGCGGATAATTAAAAAAAATAATTCTAGTTTAATAATTCTAAAATTAATACGAGTAAATTGATGATATTATATCATATATTTTGCTACACACACATACCTATACACTTATAGTGCAATATATATATATATGATTTTATATGATATTCTGACGATATGAAGAATAGTTAAAAAAAAAAATGTATGTAAAGTGAATACTATAATTTACAGAAGGTACCAAAATACCTTCGAAACGTGGCAGTGCATATTTTGGAAAACAGAGGAATTTCACAGGGCCTGGCCACATGTGTTGTGTTCCTAACATTTATCACTTCCTTGAGTCCATTGGTAAGTAACAACAGATTCTTCAATTTAATAGAACTCTTATAATGAAAATATATAAGAGATTTTATCAAATAAAATAAATATTTTATTATTACATCTTTTAACCCTTTGCACTCGAGAGGCGACTTACAGTCGCCATTTCGTTTGATACAGCAAAATTACAAAGAATAATCTACAATATTCAAGTTCATCTAACGGAATTATCCATGAAACATTAAAATAGAATAGTTATATCCCTTGATTTTTATTATTTATATCAATTTTAGTTACAAGACATACCATTGATATTTCATTGGATAATGAAGAACATATAAAGCGAACTATTTGAACAAACAAAAATTCCTATAAGTATTTTAAATAATTAAATATAGATTAAGTAAACCAAAGAGAATCTATAAAATTATGTCAACATCATTCTTGCGACATCTCGTGTAACATTTTTTCTAATTAATGCGCAACTAATGCATAAATTTCTAAACATCAAACGGTAACCAACTTCAAATTATTCGAAAATTTTTCAAATCGCTTTCTATTGCTGATAAAAATTCCAAAAATACCCATGTATCGAAAGAAAATATCACATCAATCAATGTTAAACCAAAAATCAGATCGTCGCATTAGTGCAAAACAGTAAGAACTGTTATCGAACGTAAAAATCAACGTCAGTAACCATGGATACGATCTATCACAGTTTATCAGTGGATCGATCAACAAAATTCGTGTTACCAAAGCAGGGCACACGTACTGATTAATGAAATCCACTGACCATTATTTGATCCTTAACACCCAATTGATCACCACCAAGAAATAACGTGATTCATCTTCTCCTGTCTATATAACCGATGCAGCTGACACTGGAAAGTGTGCGAGTATGCAGCAATGGAACGTTTTACCCTGACAATTCGAGCGTGACGTTCCGGAGCATAGAGGAAACCGACGACGTTTGCTACTATACTGTCTTCGCGGATGTAAGTTCGAAGAAGAACGATCGGTGGCGTTATTCTGAATACGTTTAAAACTTATTTGTTTAACATTTTCTACTTTATTAGTTGAGAATTATTTTGGCAAATATTTTAATATCCTTCTATTTGGAAATTCGGTATTAAACTTTTTAGTATATTCGAGCTTGAGAATTGTGTAATAAATTGTTTACTATCATACTATTTGAGAGATATTTATTACTTCTTTTTATTCTACTGTTTTAGCCATTTATTACATTCTTTCTATTATTTAAGAATTATTTTATTACTTTTTTGGGTTTATTTATATTTGAGTATTATTTTATTATGTTTTCCGGAACTGTTCTATAAGAATACTGTATTAAAGTTTTTACAATTTCAGAGTTATTTATCAAATTTTTTAGTTCATTGTTACGAGAGTAGTAGTTGTCGTAGTTTTCTTATTCATAGTGCTCTGGTTGTTATCCTTTGCTTATTCCAAGTATTCTGGTTGTTATCCTTTGCTTATTCCTAATATTCTCGTAATAATAGCATATAATAATAGTAATATACTATAATAAGTGTTCTTCTTTCTAATGTTTCTAGCTTTCTACTTTTCATAGCTTTATTTATAGTAATTGTAATATTTCTAACTTTCTAATTGTCATGACTTTATTCATAGTAATTCTAATATCTGCAGCTTTCATGTTGCCATAGTTTTATTCATAGTAATAGTAATACTTCTAGCTTTTTAATTGCCATAACTGTATTCATATGAAAGCTAATATTTCGAGTTTTCTAGTTGTCATAGCTTTATTCATAGTAATTCCAATATCTCTAGCTTTCTAGTTGTCATACATTTATTCATAGTAATTCTAATATCTCTAGTTTTCTAGCTGTCATAGCTTTGTTCATAGTAATTCTAATATCTCTAGTTTTCTAGTTGTCATAGCTTTATTCGCAGTAATTCTATTATCTCTAGCTCTCTAGTTACCAAAGCTATATGCATATTAATTCTAATATTTCAAGCATTCTAGTTGTCATAGTTTTATTTATAATAATTCTAACACTTCCAGTAGGTCTTTCTAGTATCCTCATATTTTTAGTATTCTAATATTCATAACACTGTATCATTCTAGTGCTCCCAATAGTCCTAATATCCGATCTATTCCAAGTATCCACAAAAAGCTTCCTTATTTTCAAATATTCCACGTCACATTACATAAGAAATCCCCTAACACGAAGATCCCGAAACCTCAAGGAAACACAATTAACCAGTCAAGTCGCCGTCGAAGTGTCTCGCACAGACGTCCAAAGGGTAAACGAATTTTCCAGCTTTTCCCGGTACTAGTGATGCTGGTAATGATAACGTGCGCGGTCTACCAAATCCTCACGTCCGTGTTCAAAGTGGCGATACTCAGCCTAGTGGTCGCCTGCTACCTCGGGATCAGTATATACGAGGCTGTGCACGAGAAAGACGTCGAACTGACTGGGAGATGGCTGGCAGGCGTTCTCGTGGTTTTCTTTATGGCCTGTCTGGTCGCCCACTCGCAGCACACGGAAGCTACGTACAGGTGAAACATCTATAGCGACCTTTGATTAACAAGTTTTCGGACTGACAAGTCAATTTTTGGAAAGTTGGTGGCAATAGTATTGAGAAACATCAACTGGTTGAATTTTTTTGTGGAATGTTTAAATTGGATATTTAATTTAAATAACGAATAATTAATCATTACTTCATTATTACGTCCCTTCAACATGTAAACTATTACTCCTAAGCTGCTGCTTTTATTAAACTATTACTACTATTTTTAATTATCAAAGCATTATTAAGGTATTAATAATATTTTAATAGTTTTCCATTAGTGAAATGCAGTGGTTTTATGAAATAATGAAACTTTGATTTGAAATCACAATTATAAAACATAATTTAAAATGAAAAGAAATTTATATAATTCTAATAAAGTGTAATATTAAATAATAAATTAAATTAAATTAAATACGAAGTTAACGTAAACTGTATACCAATACAATGAAATACAATAAAGTTCAGAAACAATGTAACCCAAAAATGTAAATGATACAAAAGGGAAGCAGGAATTAATTGAAACGAGAAAGGTATCTTGTGTGGAGATTTTAATACAGTTGCATAGATGCATTACTAATGAACATAGATATAAGTTAATTTACTATTTTTCTGTGCATGATCTATTGAGAATAAATATATACATTAAATTTTAGTTCAAAAAAGAAATATTTGATAAGATTGGAAGACGGATATTATTTAACAAATTAGTTGGAAATATTTCTGTGATTGAATGCAGACTAGATTTTCTGTGGAAGCTGCAAGCCACAGAGGAGAAAGAAGAAATGGAACATCTCAAGGCCTACAACCAGAAGCTCTTGGCAAACATTCTTCCTGAACACGTAGCTGCTCACTTCATGTCTACTGTCAATTCAGACGTGAGTCTCAGGGGGTTTCTGTTCTTATTGAAATTTTAATGCTGGGGTTAAGTACGTAACAGGGCGCACATATCAGCCCACTAAATTATTAATCACTTACTTTTACCCAATTAGTTATACATATTTAACTCAACACCCCTAATAAAATATGTGAAAAATTCGAACTGACAATGACTACTGTCAGTGGTAATATACAAGAATTGTTTTGAAACTGAAAATATTACAAGATGTAGTATCTGTGAGTATATAATAAAGAAATATCATCCGAAATTTAATCTTAATAATTTTAATTTTCTAACATCTACGATTATATTTCAAAAGTTATTGACAATTAAATTATTATTACACTTCTTAATAAATAATTTACTATACAGTTAAACGAATATGTCAAAGGCATCCGAAGCATTTTTGTATAAATAATTGCTTCCACATTCTTTAAATCTTTAATGTATAAATTTTTTTACATTAAACTTATTCATGCGGAGTCAATGTTTTTACACTAAATTGTTGATTATTCTTCGAGATACTAATGGTTAACTAAAAGATTTAATATTTCTTTCTTACTTTTTAAAATATTTTCTTTCCTTGTCAACTGGGTTATATAAATAATTCAATAAAAAATTCTATTTATAGGAACTGTATCATGAGCAATGCGACTTCGTCTGCATAATGTTCGCTTCGATACCGAACTTTTCCGAGTTTTACGTGGAACTTGAAGCGAATAACGAAGGAGTCGAGTGTCTGCGACTCCTGAACGAGATCATAGCAGATTTCGATGAACTGCTGGCCGAGGAACAATATAAGTACATCGAGAAGATCAAGAGCACTGGAGCCACCTATATGGCAGCATCCGGTAAGAGAATAATAATGTTTAAATGTTTTATTACTGCGATTTATTCACCATCGTTGTCTTAGTTCTTTTCCCAACCAATAGTACATTTTTCAAATACTTAAAAGTTTCAATAAAAACTGCAATCATTATTATTCTAAGCAATAATTCCAAGTAAATAGAAAACATAAACAAACATTAATAAAAACAGGAAAAATAATACTTATGCCATATTATGATCTTAGTATTTCATTAGTAAGCAACCAGTAGAGTTACCAAAGTGAATATCTAAAACTTTCCATGGAAAATAGAAATTACTATTCTTTAAATAAATTATTCGGAGTGATACCCAAATTGATTACAACAAACAATGACACATCGGAACTACAAATATTAATAAATATGATTTATTCGACATTATTGACTTGATACTTTTGTAACGAGCAACCAATAGAAAAGTATTAAAGTGAATAGTAAATTAATTGGAATAAACAATAACATACTAGAACTACGAATATAATTAATTCGCCATTAGTGCCATGGTATTATCCTAGTAAGCAACCAGCAGACAATTGCTAAAATGAACATCTAAACTTTTCAATGGAAAATAGAAATTGTTATTCTTCCAATAAGTGAGAAGAAACGAGAGTCGAAAAATTATTAATAAGTTCCGGAGACATTCAGAAATGTTCATGAATGATGTTTCCTATTTTTCCACAGGTCTGACGAGAAGCACCTGCGACATGAAAGACTACGGCCATGTGACCGCTATGGCGGACTACGCGCTCAGGATACGCGAACAGCTGGCCTCCGTTAATAAAGAGAGCTTCAACAACTTCCGGTTGCGCGTGGGCATCAATATTGGACCGGTAAACGTCAATCAATCCTATCCCGACTGGTTAGAGTGTGCACGAGCGTGGATTAACTCAGAATAACTCAGTGGAAATTTGTTAGCGATGAGGGAAAATTGATGGAAAATTAATTGGTAAAATAACTGGTGATTTTTAAACGTCAGGCAACAAAATGGTATAAAAGAAATCAACTGTTTAGTTATTCAATTAAATCATGTGGATTATACTGATGTGAATATTGTCAAATATTTATAACACATTAACCACGTTAATACTTAATATTTAAACAATTGAAAATTTACGAACATATTTTAATGATAAATTAATTAGTAAAATGATGGGTGATTTGAAATATCAGATATCAGAGCTATTGATTTAAATGATACAGATAATAATAATGTGAATACTGTTTAATATTTGTAATATATTAACCACGTTAATAATTGATAATTAAACAATTGGAACTTTACGAATTCATTAACCTGAAAAGTAATTCCAATGGTAGACATAATTGACCGAATAAAGTAGATAATTCGATTATTAAATTTCAACAGAACTAAAACTTTCTACTCAAAAGACTACATCATTATTATGCTTATGATGATAAAACAGTCTTTGTTAATTCAACGTTATATTTATTTATGGAAAGCGTGTATTGTGAAAGACAGAGCACACATTGACAGACTGAATAATTTTTTTAATTCGGATGTAACAATATTTACACATGAAATAATTCAGAACCAACTGATAGTTTCTTTTTGTGAGTTGTAGTTGAGAAACATACAGTAGTGCAACAGCAGAAAATTAATTGAAAAATACGGTGATTCCTCAGATGGATCTCGATGGAAGTCATTATACAATAATTCCTATGGTGTTCATCATCACGGGAATACCATATTTTCATATTATGTGTAGCAAGATAAATTAATGAAGTTAATTAATTAGTACACATTATTTTCACATTCGTATCAAAATTGGAATATATTATTAAACGTAACTGATATTATGAAACATCTGATTCTTTAAATTTATTATAAGAGAAATGCTAAAATATCATTTCTCATCAGTTTATTTCAAATTTCAAATTCTCTAACAATTGCAAACTGTAAAAATATTATCCACATTTAAATGAATAACTTAAATCCTCCAACACTCGCAAATTGAAAAAATTCCACTTATGTATTATATAATTTATATATGATTTAATATCTCACATTTCCTAACAATTGCACACAGAACAAACTCCACTAACATTTAATTTAAAATATTAAATTCATTAACAATTGCAAATCAAATTCTTACTCAAGTCTGACTGAACATTTGAAACCTTCCGAAAACAGGACTGCAAATAAAGGTACCTCTACACGAAACAACTTGAATAATATTACAAACAACCAAGCCACAATATTCACTGTCAATTGTATTCTATAAAATTTCAAATCACCCAACAATTGCAAACCAAATTTTCATTCAAATTTGACTCACTATCTCAAACCTTCCAACAAGTCGAATTCAAATAAAAATAACCCAATGAACAGAACACAATAAATAATACCTATCACAACCAAATCAAACATTCAACGATCACCTCCATTTTACAGGTGGTAGCAGGTGTGATAGGCGCGAGAAAGCCGCAGTACGACATTTGGGGTAACGCGGTGAATGTGGCCTCGAGAATGGAGTCTACCGGTGTTTTAGACGGGATCCAGGTCACACAGGAGGTTCGCGACATCCTGATTACCAAGGGATATCCGTTGACCTGTCGAGGCACCATCCAGGTCAAAGGCAAAGGCAGCATGGTGACATATTTCCTGGATGGTCCACGCGAGCCCACGAAATCAGCGAACCCAGAAAACAGAAGCAGCATCAACAACAACAGCAACACTGAGGGCACAATCTCCAGTAGCCTCGACGTTTGAGAACCAATTATTTAAATTAACAAAAATTCGTAAGGCATATATAGGATGAGATATAAAAACTAACACGAATAAACGTGTCGATAAATGGTCTCAACGTCAGAAGAGAATTTCTTAAGGCGATTAAATGAAAATTGAGGAAAAAAGAAGTTACTCAAAGGGTTGTGTTCTTCGAAAGTCCCTAAGCGTGCGACATAATTTGTTTGATTTGCAGAAAATAGATAGGAGAACGAGAAATGAGAAACGATTCTGAGGTTTTACTGAAAGAAGCGAGTTGGAATATAAGGAACTAATTGTTTTTTTCTTCGAGGCAAAGGAAAATTTGGGGGGAACTTAATAAGGGAAAAGTGGACTGAGAAGATGGTAAATGAGAAATGACTCGAGAAGAATGAATCTAAGGATTCATTCAGAATCAAAGAAGTTTTAATAGTTTAAAAATAATTTTTTCTCTCTGTAACAAAGGAGACATTACAGAACTATTAAGGAAAGCTGGAGCAATTTGAGAAATTAGAAATAGAAAAATGATTCCGTGGGTTCAGTCAAAATCGAAAAAGTCTTAATGCTATGAAAATATTTTTTCTTCTTCTAATAAGAAGAAATAATTAAGCGTTGGAAAGTGAAAAATGCCACTGGAGATTCAAATGTCATCAAACGATTTTTAATGACTGAGCTGATTATTTAACGAAAAAGCAAGGATCAAAGGATAAGTGAAAAATATTTAGGAACATTAAATAAATAGCCCAAGTGGAACACAACAACAATTTGTTGAAAATTTCTAACCGGTGAGATCAGATTAATAAATCTAATGTTCGAAGATGTTGAAAATAGGGGATTGAGTATTTTTTAGAATGATTGGGGAAAGACGATGTATGTGAATAGAGAATGAAATTACTGACAAGAATGATATGCTTGAAAAGAATTGCTTTAACTCGTGCTACAGAATATTAATGTTTAAGTAATTTTTCTGAGAAGTCTGCAGGGTGGTATGGTCCCATAAATAATTCGGTATTCTTTTTAATGTACAAACCAAAATATTATCTAAGCGTGATAAACAAGCAAAAACCATTCGGAAAACGTTGAATCAAATAATCACAACAAAACCTTGGAAAATTAATGCCGTCAAAGTTATTATTATCTTCAAGTTGATAACAATGCCGATAATAAAAAGACAGAATCACAGTATGTATTATTAGTTTCATATTGAAATTGAAGTTTCGAGCGCATACAATGGACATATCACTGCAAAACATATTACACCAGTTACACTACACGTTATTTCCCACAAGAAATGTTATTAAAAGATTTTTGAGATTTCAAAATAGCTATATTCAGCAATTTCTGTTAACCGAATTATTTATAGGATGGGCCAATATTTATGAAAACAAACGCGCGAGTGTTGTTGAAAGATGACATATTTTGGAAATATTTTGGTCCAAAGTGATCCTAAAATTTTCCAGTAAAAAGGACAGTGAAATATTGAAGGGACATGATGTTCTATATGTTAGGAACTATAAAATCAAATGGATGTTAGAATTAACAAATAATATTACTAGGAAGCAAGTAATATTTTGTCAAGGACTTCTATCAGCAAACTTTTTCGAGCCTAAAAGAAAGATATATTTATTATACGTGCAAGAGGAAACGCTCTCTGTATAGAGGAGATTGCAATGAATCTGTAAAATTGTATTCCCATAGTGATTTCGAAGTTAATTAAGGAGAATGTAGCTTCACGTGAGTTACGACTGGACAAAATGATTTGGAAACGAAAATTCTCCAATGATGGTGATTCTAAAAATTGTGAAAATACATTGAGTTGTTGCACATCGATGAAATCGTGTATTAAAATGATTATTCGTTGAGAGACGAAAGACGTGTATCAGAAATAACTGTCACAGTAATAAAAAGTAATAGAATTAGTCAACAGTATATAGACGAATATGATTTTGGTCAAAATTTTCGGAACTAGACAGGAAAATATAGAATATTTAACAGTTTGAAATACAAATTAATGGAAATTCAGTTATATATGTTGTTTTCTGCACTCTATTGGCAATATAAAATATTTATTGTTATCTTATATTACAAATTGTGGATATTTATATACAACAATATGCTGCTGTACATTTATTGATAGTATCTATGTTTGTATGATATTTATTAAACAAACACTAGCGCTACTGATTGAAAAAATAAGAAATTGAAAATACTTAATGAGTGTGCAATAACTTAATGATCGGATTAAATTATCGATTGTTTAAAATCTCGAAGTGAATTACTCCCAAACCCTTTCAAGTTTCGAATTCGAAAAAGGCGACCTGAATACTGAAGAAATATTCGAAAAAAATTCAAAAAGAAATATCGAAACGAGCAAGCAATATTTAGTTTATCGAAATTGAATATCTGGAACACAATCATCGAGTGCCGTCCCTAAAAATGGTTCAGTCGATCTCCACACATCAATTTAGTAAAAGTAAGTAAGACTAACCAGTAGAAAAATTCAATTTCCAATTGATTAAAGCTCAAACTTTCGTCCTTATCCCCTGTAAAATGGAAAAACTATCTTGTACTTAAAAAAAACGCATCTCGTGTCATTTGGTGTTCAATCCATATCCCCCTTGACTCGATATCACTTTAATTCGAAGACACGCCGCTTGACCATTTTTTTAACGAACAGTGAGATGATTTACATAAAAAAAATTCATAATATAATTAAATATAAATTCGAAATTTAAAATTTTAAATCAACTGTCTGGATATTATTTACATTTCTCAAATTATGAAACATTACAGATAGTAAAACATATTCAACTATTCTTGAAGGAACTATTATGTTATATCTCTTAATATTCTTTTACAAATATATTACTGCGTTATTGATCACATTTGCATTTTAACATTCCTTTTTTGAATTCAATTGCGGAAGCTAAGTATAAATAGAAAAGCAACGTCTGCAAACATCGCTGCAAAACATATTACACCAGTTACACTACACATTACCTTCCACACATGATTTGATGCATTGGTTCACGAGATCAATGATTTTATTGTTTGGAAGGTCATGTTTCATGCAGCTTGCGTGACACATTCTCCAGTGCATTTTATTCAAAGTAACATTGATTAATATAATACAAGATTAATATGAACTGGAAAGGAATGTAATTATTAATATCACACATTGGACGACGAGTACGAACAAATTATTTTTCAAATTCTAAAAATCAAAGAATGATTAAACAAATTCTTTGATAAAATGTCCCAAATTATTATTGCAATTCTAAACCAATGAAGCAGTATACAGAATGAAAATTCTAAATCAAAATATCTAGGAACTATTATATTTTTATTCAATTATTCTTGAATATTTTATAATAACGATTATTATATTGTGTAAAAATATGGTCAGCTTATTCAAACATGTACGAATTAGTCTCACTGCTCGTTTATTAATTACGCGTGTCTAATGCTGTTTCTAGTCAATGAAAAAGAAGATTTAGGAGACTAATCGTAGTGAGGTTATCTGAACACAACGAAACCACGATACGCATTTCCTCCGCTTAGTTTTTTATCCCGACGTTTGATCTGAAAGGAATGGGACCACGGAAGGTATCTTTACCGATAATGTAAGCGACGATGTAATTAGATGGAAGGTTGAAAACGAAAGTTTAAATGATACTATAATGATTATTAGAAACTATTTTCGTTTGCTTATGCATTCAGAACACCTATGAATTTTCTTATAATAAAATGATAGAAGTATTCCACACCAATGTGGATTCATTTAAAGCAGAAATATATCGCCTCTCGATACTTTATCTGCAATTTAACCGGATGCGAAGAAAAATAGTTCGTTAAAAGATATCGCTGATTCTTTTGCAGAGAGACTTTGAGATGATGAGTGATCAATTAATAAATTATTACACCGTTATACCATCTGTCGAAGAAAAGGAGTTCATATTAAATTATTCAGTATCATTTATACCTTAATGAATACTTTTTACCTAATTTCAATTATTATCCATTCATACACATGTCTCACCTATTTCTTTTACTGGGTTAGAATATTGTATACTCTTGGTTTCCTGTATCTATATTCAAGCTGTTTTGCAATTTTCTAGTTGGAGTCGTGAGACTATGAATACAAATGTTTAAATACAATAATTCCAATTCTTCGTAAATATAATTATTTTATGAGCAACTAGCAATTACCTATTGTTTTTGAATTCTTTGCTGTTAGATTCAGAACTCTTTTCTACCATATTAAATTTCTAATAATTATTGGATTATTTATCATTTGATATACGTCCCTTTCTATCGTACCACATTTCTAATAATAATTACTTATTTGTCAATTGATATCAATTCCTTTTTATCATATTGAGTTTTCCAAATCAATTATTCATGAACTGATATATCATCCTTTCCGCCATACTAAATTTCCAAGATCATTTATTCAATCCTTTATGAATTGATAGAATCGCCTTTCTACCGTATTAAATTTCCAACGTCAATTATTAATCAATTGACGTACGTTTCTTTCTACCACATTAAATTTTTAATATCACCTATTTATAAATTCATAGAATGTTCTTTCTAGTATATTAAATTTGAAATATCAATTATTTATCAATTGATAGAAGTTCTTTTATCCCATATTTCAATTCTCTCCTACGTCTCTCGAAAGATCTCTCTCTCTCCCTCTCTCTCTGTCGAAGAAACAAAATTCCCGCATAGAAATCCGCGCAGCCGAGCACGAGCTCGATGGATATGCAATTATGCAGATACAGGTCCGCGTGCGTGTGGTTCCATGTGGGCGGGGAGCTCGTGCCCCGTATCAAGAGTAACGTGATCGAGACACGAGACGTGCTCCGAGATTCAGTCACACGAAACCTTGTTGTGCATCTCGACGCGGAGCATATGTGAAATATTAAGTTGGCCAAAAAGTTTTGTCATTTTAATATCCAAAATACTATTTATATTTTAATGTATGTACACTGTATGATAGTGTATGTACATAAAAATACAAGTAGAAAGCTTTCCAATAAATATGATTCAACTATAAATAGGAATTGTTCGAACAAGTACGATTGAAATATAAATAGAAAATGATCGAATTAAGAGAAAAATTTTCAGTTAAAATATAAATAACAGTGTGCAAAGTTAAATGGAATTTAATACAGCGTGGTGAATTGGTTTCTCAAGTTTCATTTTAAAATTGGAACAAGACTTTTTGGCCAAGTCAACCCTTATGTTAGCAACTGAGATGTCTTCGTTTGTTTAAATTTTAATGTTGCAATATCGCTGGATAAAGCTTTTATTTCGGGAATTCTAATTGACCTGAGAATGGCTAAACAATTAAAATAAGGAGAAATTTTATTAAATTGTTGGAGGAACATAAGAAATTTGGTAGAAGAAATTTTAGAAATATTATTATTCAAAATAAATTTGAAGTATTTCAAACAAACATTCAAAAATATTTTTGAAAATAAATTTAGAGAGTGGCATATAAAAATTCAAAAATTTTAACAAAAATTTGGAAACCATATTTTTAGAAACAACCTTCTAAACTTTAAATATAAATTTAAATATACCGGAGTGACCGGTCGCTAACAAAAGGGTTAATATTCCCGCTGAAACGGTTCTTGTGGACGAATTGTTGTAAATAGCGGTGTACACGCGCGAAAGATAGATCGATGTTCTGATATAGTCAATAAAAACGGGACTTCCGCTCGGGAACGATTTCGCCAGAGCGTAGCCAAAGTGTACCGTTGAAATTCGTGAAAACGATGAAAAAAGAAAGTCAAAAACACGTTCGCGTTGCGTGCAAAAGCGAATTGCAAAAAACGCATCGCAAAACAAACTCCATTCAACACAACCAAACAGAATCAAACACACCTCAATATAAATCAACACAGACAAACACAGCATACATACAACAGTAATAAAGTATTAAAAATCGTATAGTAAAAACATTTGCATAAACGAGCCTAGACACATTATAAGCAGAATCAAACAATGCTGAAATATAGTAGAAAAATATAATTAAACATAGTTACACAATTAAATACGGTCGACTAACAGTCAAACACAATTCATCAATCAAACACATCAGTGGAAAATAGAATTGGCATATAAAGTATTAAAACAATTATATAAATTATGTGGCATATATAAACATTGATATATACAATGAAATAAAATATGAAAAATATATAAAGAGAAAAGAGTAATCTGCACCAGCGGACGCAGCATGCAGAAAAATTTCCTGTTGATTAAATATTATCACACGAACGCGGCCAAATTCAACGATTCGTCGAAGCTTTGAAATATATACATAACGCCATTTATTTGTCCGAAGCTTTAATAAAAATAAATTGCAAAATTTTACGCAAAATATCGAGAAACTAAATGTTAGAGATTCTGTTAGAGAGTTTCTTATTTAAATCTGAAATTGTGACGAACCGAGTGTTAATATGGAAACGCTCTGAAAATAAGTGAAAATTTACAGTTGATATTGTGGTTTATTAGACGAGCCTGGATTGTTTTTAAAATTGCAATGATTAGGCCTACATTATATAATTCTAGTACATGATCTTTAATGCAATTGAAATCTCTACAGTTTTAATGAAATTTAAATAACTTTGAAACAGAATTTTTTGATTTAAATTTTAAATATATTAAAACGGATTAATAATGCGCGGTTGTAAACATCTAAAGGATGATTAAATTCCCGACAATTTAAACGAGTTTATACGGCGGGCTTTTGAGGTTCGAAATGATTATTCGTTTATTTCCAAACGGTTTCAATTAAGATTCCATCGCGACTGGAATATTCACAAAATTAAACACCGCTGATCGACCTATATTCCGCTTTTCACTTTCGTAAACCGTTTCGCTTTTAATTCAAAATATTCCGTAACGCAAGTTTTTAGCGTTGCTTTGGGGCAACCTTCCAACTACCTGATCACGCAAACTAATTAAACGCAAGCGAAATGCTTCTGAAATTAGAAAGAAAAAACCTAAGAAATACTATATTCTAAAATAGTTGAAAAATTGAAAACGCGAAAGTTGAATGACTGAATAATTGAAAGCTGATTAACTGAATAACTGAAAGTAGAATAAGTGAAATAATTGAAAATTTTTTAATCGCGATTTAACCAATATTTTTATTCGTAAGCAATTACTTTTCCCTAATTCGAAATTTTCTAATCTTTGGTGTCCTTCCCGAGCGCTACGTTACAGCGCTGCATCAGAACACTGCGTTTGGGTTTCCATTTCAGCGCTGCTGCAGGGCACTACGTTAGAGTGCATTGCAGCGCTGCCCGATGGCACTACGTTAGAGTGCATTTGAACGCTACGTTAGAGCGTTAATCCAAGCGTCGCTGGTGCAGGGCATGCAAAACAAAATTCTACAAACTATCTACCAACACACACACAAAACATTGCATCAACTCAAGTTCAACAAGGGAAAGACATTGGAAGATTGCACTTTGCCTAGCTCCGAAATACGTTCCTAGCGAGGAACACACGTTGAAAACAAGTTACTATGTATAATTGTATACAAATATTGTGATCAATGTGATTCTCCAAAGCGTTTCAATTTAGCCACCAGTCAATTGAATCCTGACGACACTCTCCGTCTGATATGCAGCGCGAATCGAATATTTAAATATTCCCTCGTGGCAGACGGAAACCGATCGAA